TCTCTCTCTCACTCACTCATAATATTTTGCCATTTAACTTTTCTTTGCTCCTCTGAGTCACATAGCGTGCCATAGACAAGGGCTTTGCATGCCAAGTCTGGCAAGGGTTGCCGACCTCTGGTATAGGTTTTACTTGTCGTTTTAAATTTTTCTATCTCATTTTCTTTACCTATAATATAGGTTGTGTCATAGTATTTAATTTTGGCAGTATAGATATCCCAAATACAGAAATAATTTCCTTTTTTTTTTCATTTTTCTTCTATTATTTCATTCTCCTCCTGATTCATGTCTTAGAATGTTAAATACATATTAACTCAGTTGTTCGGTTGTTATCCCCATGCATCACAATTATCACATAAAAAAAAAGTTCTCCAAAATACTTTTTACTGTTATAAAATGAAAGATTGCATGGAAATTATAGGAAAATCAAATATATTAGTCCATTATTTACCCTAGTTCAGGCACAGTGTAGAGGACTTGCAAAAGCTGCCAAATGTCCTTTCAAGATATATGGGAGCAAAATATAAGCTGCGACATCTAAAAATAACCTTCACATCATATTATGCAAGTCACAGTTACACACTGTTCATCATATGATGTAGCAGTTTATGGGTTAAATAATCATCTTGACCATAAATATTCATAGTTTTACCTTTTGGAGCCATCCCAATTTATAAAAAATATGAGCCCAAGATGGGTAATATTACATTTGATATATTATGGTGTTTATTTAACTTGTTGAATTACCCTCATAATGTGACCCCTCTAGAATATAATATGACACCATACAGTTCTAAGCTTTATTTTAATAGCCAATTAAAATCAGTTTCCCAAGCTCATAAGTTCAAATTTTAATAGCAGTATAACCCTGGAAAAAATGTCAAAATTAGAATTCCTGTCAGGTTTTAATTAACTATTAATTACATATATTACTGATTTTGTTTTTACTTTTCTTTTCTTTTTACTCCTTTTGAATAATTAATATTTACCAGTTAGGAGTTTTCTCCCTTTCTTAATGTGGTTCCACAAGCACATTATTTATCATGGAGTCCATTATTAGGCCTACCTTATTTACCACACTATTCAAATTTTGGGAAAGGGTTTTATTTTTACTATTAATATTAATATTCTAATAATTATTATTATTATCAGCTATTAATAATAATGATGATTAGACAAACATTTTTTTAAATATTATACCATTAATAACAATATATTTATTGGAATAAAATCTTTTCACAGAAAAAGATTGGGGTAAACAAGTGAAGCCAAGTAGGCCTAATAGTCATAACTATTTTTGACTATGCCCTTTTACATATAAAAATAAAAATAAAACAGAACTATAGTAGACACTGCATGTTCCCTGCATCAACAGATCAAACAAACAAAATACCCAATCATATCCTTGATTAATAATGTTTCTTTGGTATTAAAAAAAGGTTATGATATATCTTGCATGTTGTGAAATTCTAATTAAATAAACCCAGGTTGTATTTAATTTTTTTAGGAAAGTTATGAATAAATGTTTCCAAAAATGGATGAGTTATCTTGATGTTTTCCTTCCTAGTTTTTCATTTCATGCCAAAATTAAATTTTCTGTTACTTGTAGGTATATTTTTCTGGAAGTTTCTGCCACACTTAGCAGCTGCTCTTTTTATAATCACGATTAAATTCTTTAAGCATGAACTTACATAAATAACTAGAGGTTAAAAAAAAAAAAAAAAATGCAAACCATTAATTAATTTTGCCTTGCCTTCATTCTTGTTTTATAAAGGTATAACCTTGCTCAATGTAATTTACTAAAGAAATAAATGGAATTTACTCAATTTCTATATATTTCTTTTTTTCAAGTATACTGATGTGCTATGAAAAAGTCACATCATATGTATGAAACATTGATTAAATATTATTCATGAAACTGGAGTACAGTTCCTGTTACAACGAGCATCCCATTCTACATAAGTAGCAACAATAAAATGTGACACCTATATTGAGCATTATATTCCTAGTAAATAGAGGCCAAAGGCATAAAGCCAGATCAATTGAGCTGATAGAGCCACTGGAAAACTCTATAAACATACAGAGAGAGAGGGAGGGTAGGGGGATGCGGAGAGGGAGGGAGGGAGTGAGTGAGTGAGTGAGTGAGTGAGTGAGTGAGTGAGTGAGTGAGTGAGTGAGTGAGTGAGTGAGTGAGTGAGTGAGTGAGTGAGTGAGTGAGTGAGTGAGTGAGTGAGTGAGTGAGTGAGTGAGTGAGTGAGTGAGTGAGTGAGTGTGAGTCAGAGAGAGAGAGAGAGAGAGAGGGAGAGACAAACACACACACACATACACACACACACACACACACACACACACACACACACACACACACACACACACACACACACACACACACACACACACACACACACACACACACACACACACACACAGAAAAAGAGAGAGAGAGAGAGAGAGAGAGAGAGAGAGAGAGAGAGAGAGAGAGAGAGAGAGAGAGAGAGAGAGAGAGAGAGAGAGAGAGAGAGAGAGAGAGAGAGAGAGAGAGAGAATGTATGTACCTCATTTTTCTCTTTTTTTCTGTTTCCCTCTCTCTTTTCTCACTTTTTATTTTTATTTTTACTCTCTTTCCCTTTCTTTTTCAGTTTATCTTTCTATCTTTATTTTATTCTCTCTCATTCTCTATCTTTAGCTTACCTTATCTCATTCTCTCCCTTTCTTTCTCCTTATCTTCTCTCCAATGCTCTATTTTCTCCTATGCTGTGCTCTCTTTTTTTTATGCTCACTCCTCCCATTTCCTATTCTTTCCTCTCTTATCCTCTCGCCTCTCTTCATTTCTTTTCTCTTTTCTCTTTCTTCTACTTTTATTTCTCACCCCCAGCCTCCCTCCCTAGTTCTTCTCTTCATGTTTTCCTTCTCCTCCTTCAGTGTAAATTTAAATAAATGTCAAATAAAAACATGCCTCTTGACATTGTTACATATTGGAATCCCAAGACTGGAATAGAAAAAAAAAAATTGTTAACAGCCCCATTAAGACTTTTTATGTATGCTTTGGTAATGAAGAAAATCCAATTGTTGTATCATTAGGCATCGTAAATAAAATTCATTTGTCTCATTATAAATGCATATTTTGGTGAGAGTTCATGCCATGACAGCTTAATTAATGGCACGTGTTTTTTTCCATATTCTTTTATTGCTGCCAAAAAAATTATTCACTACAGCAAGAGAAACAGTTCTGCATAAATCACATAAAGCATTAATTTGGAAAATATGTAGAACTACTATGTCAAACCTTTTACAAGAAAATCATTTGGTGATGAAAATCTTGTCCAACAGAAGTAACTCAATATTTTAAGACAAGAGTGAAAGCTAGAAATGAAACTTTTTCATATTTATTTTGTAAGATATAAAGAAAGCTGTTGGCTTTAAAACACTGAAGATATTGAATACAAAAAATGTAATTCATTCTTATGCTTGGCCAAATTCTTTTCCTTTAGCACATATCTATATAATCAAAAACTTAATATATATACTTTATACTTAAGTAGTATAAAAAGGCAACAAAAACATTTCTCTTTTGCTTCTTGATTACCATTAATCTTGAATGCAGGAAGGAAAAGATGAGGTGTGAAAAAAATGAAGAGGGAATGGAATAAGTTAAAAAGGGAGAAAAGTTATAGAATCTGACCATCAATAACTAATCATCCCTTCTCAAATATATGTTATATTACATTACAAAAGATATTTCCATTATGAAGCAATTGTAGCAATTGAAATTCTCTTAATCCTCTTACAATCACATTTCAAAAATCTGAAAATATACGAACTTTGATTATTACTACGAAATTAGTTACAAAAATATTTCATACATTTCTAAATACAGAAATAATACAATTTCACTGGTCTCCTAAATTTTCTGTGAACTCTTGCACTGTACTTGACAGCTCATCCATTCTTCGCATCCTAGCACGATACTTATCAGCCATCCAAGCAAAAAAGGAGAGCTGGTGCTCCATGTCTTTTGAAGATTCTGTGCACTCATGTTTGAAGCAGTCATTTAAAAATGTGTTCTTCCGTTTCTCTAGCAACAACTCTTTGTAGAAATCTTCTGATACCTGTCTTTCAGCTTCCAAAGCCAGTTGAACTTTTCTGTTATTTTCCAAAATGGTGTACATTTCCTCCTCAAGGGAACTGGTTGTCTGGCTTTCACTGGTACAGCGAGATGGCTGGTCTGAGTCCCGTGTGTTTTTCTCATTTTTCCTCTGAAGTTTTCGGAGTAAGTTTTTGTTTCTGTTCTTTTCCTCCAACAAATGGCGACTAACACCTAGGCTCTTTTTCTTTTCTTCCTCAAGTTGTCTCTTGAAGTCACTCACTTTTGTCAGTTCCTGGTCTAAGTTCCACACTTTTTGCTTAGGTATTCCAAGTTTAAGTTCTTTTCGGAGTTGTTCCTTAGATATATCAATAGCCTGTAATTGCTGTGCAAGAAAGCTCTTTGCAGCAGTTAGTTCTTCAATGCAGTTCTGAGCATTACTTAGCTGTTGCTTCCAATAACTTTCCTTCTCAATCAATAATGTGCAATGTTTTTTATTTGTTTCTAGTTCTGCTTCTAATTGTTTTTTTTAATTCAGTGAGAGCCTCTGCCTCCTGTTCCTTTCGTTCCAACTTAGTCTGTGCTTCCTCCAACACTTTTTTAGACTTCTCTACCTCAGAAGCTAGCGAGTCACTTAAAATCTCTATTTCTGTTCTACAGTTTTCATGTTCTGCTACAGTCTCATTTAACCTTTCCTGCTGCAACTTCAGAGTATTCTGTAGACTCTCTTTCTCTCCCACCATATCCTGAATCAGCTTGAATTTGTATCCATCTATTTTAGATAATTCATCCTCTAGGGATGCAAACTGATCCTTGATGTCCTGCATGATGCAATCAAGATTATTAATTGCTTCTTCCAGACTCAGTGCCTTGGCATTATATTTTTCTCCACAGACACTTCTACCCTTTTCTGTGGTTACAGTTCTATTAAGCTATTTATCCTTTCCTCATTTCCTGGACTCTTTTCTACCTGGTACACAGAAAGTTCCTCCCTCTGCTCTATTAAGGAATTTCGGACCTTTATTATCACTTTTTTCATTGACAGTAATTCTTCACCCTTATTTCTGATTTTTCCACATATGCGTTTTTTTTCACACTGTAAATTCTCCAAAGCTTTTTCTTTCTCTCTGAGTATTTCATTGGCTGCAGCAAAATCCTTTTCATGTAATTCTTCCCTCTTTGCCAAACATAATTTTAATGTACCTACTTCTTTCTCCATACTTGAAACCTCACCCATATATTTCTCAATTTCTTTTTCATGAGTTTCTTCCTTTCTTTTTAAATCCACCTTAAAATCCTCTAGCTCTTTTTGGTTGTTCTCCAGAGCTTTGTCTTTTTCCTCCACACTTCTAGAGAATTTTTCCTTTGTTCTTGCAGCTTCTACTAGTGCACGTTCATTCTCTAACAAGAGCTGATTAATCCTTTCCCTCTCCCTTTCTATTAATGTGAGTGCAACATCACTTTCCTTTACTTGCCTCTTCATTTTCTGATTGTGATCTAAAATTTGCGCCAAAATAATTTCTCTTTTCCTTGAAACACTTTCTACTTTCAATCTTCTTGCAATCTCTTTTGTCAAGGCCTTTTCATTTCTGAATTTTAAGTCCTCTATGATCTTCTTCAGTTTTCTAATTTCCTCCAATGGATCTTTGCTTTCTCTGACTTGCCTGTTTCCTGAAATTTTACACTTGTTTGTTTTACCCTCATCTGGAACTCTCACTGGTATTTTAGCAGCACTATCTTTAACTGGCACTTTACCCTTCTTATCAACATCAAATTTACTACGTTTACTTTCCTTACTGATTGTCTGATCACTTTCTAGTGTCATCTCTTTGGAAAAATTTCTTTTCCTACTCATTTCACCATATCCAGCTTCCAAGTTCTGGTGTTTTCTTTCTCGTGTGATATTTGAATAATAGTCTCCATGCCATCCACTCTCTTTTGATATATTTTCACTAGGATGTAATCTTTCTTGTCCTGTACCAGGTTCATTGCTGTTGTTGCTTACTGAAAGGGGAAAGATTTTGTTCTTGTTTCTCATACAATATTCTGAATATGTTATTTTCACTGGATAAGGTTTTTCTGTTTCTTTAGTTTCCTTTTCTTCACAAGTTTTCCCTTCACCATCAGCAGCTTCAAAGTTTCTACCTTGCTCACACTTAGACAGTTGTAACCTTAGGTCTGCCTGATCACATATACCCATTTTAGGATCACAGTTCATAAACTGTTGTTCACTCTTCTCTGGAAAACTAATTTCCAAATTCATTTTTCTATGCTCCGAAGAGAAGTCATTTGTTTTCTGGCCTTCCACATTCCCCTCTACTTGCATTAAATTGGAAGATTCACTGGTGGTGTTACAACACTTTTCGTAAGTGAAAACACCTGAATAACTTAAACTTTGTCCATGTAATTTCATAGTTTTCTGGCTGCCCATATATTCATTACTGTAAATAACATTTTTTTGGCAAGTTTTTCTGGTTTCTACTTGAACTTTCTCAAAGAAACTTTCTTCTTTTTCTTTGTAAGTACAATATGACTTTGTTTCTGTGTCTGTCTCATTTTGATAAATCACTATGTTCTTATCAGGTGCACTCATATCTTTCAGGGTATTAAGTACTCCTTGTTGAACTTTTGAATGTTCTCCAATCTGAGGGTTACCCTTGGCATTCTCATGATTGCTGTAAGAGCTTTGACCTTCAACTTGTTCTACACTGCTTGTCATCTGAGGTGAATGAACTGGACCTGACCCAAGAAAATCTCTATCTTTGTCTTTTTCGCAATTACCATTTGACTTATTTTCAGCATTTATGTTACCAGAGATTCCTACACTCTCAGTTTCAGTATTTACTGTTATAGATTCCTTATCAATAATGAAATTTTGTAAGTACTCAATGATGGTACTCTTCATTCGTAACTGTTCCTTAAAATATGCAAGGGCTTTATTCTGCACACTCAAATTTTCTTCCAACTGCGCATTCATCTCTTCACGTGTTATGATGCATTGCTGAAGAGCAGCATTCTTTCTCTTCATTTCCAACATTTCTTTCAGATCACTAGTTGAAGAACCAGCTTTGGTCCTTTCTACCAGGTACTCCACTTCTCCGTGCAATTCCTGCATCCTTTTATAGGCACTACGCAGCTTCTCATCTTTCCTTGCTAACAATTCATTTTCTGTGGGATTTTTCTCATCTGAACACTGGACCAAAGAACTGCTTGGAAGTTCCCAGTCAAACTTATTGGCAGGCTCAGAACATTTTTGGCAGATTCTACCAACTGCCAGCTGAGACTCTCTCTCCTTAACAAAAGCCTGATAGTCAGAGAAATTTTTCTGTAGCTGTTTTATGAAACTCTCTTTTTCACTCAAAATATTGTTGCACTGAATCAATCTGTTCTCCAAATCTGCTAAATGTTTATTATATTCTTCCATGTAATGGCTCACTGACTCCTCTCCCTTCTGTTTACCTTGATTTTTCTGATTATTAATGCAACTCCAATGATATTTTTCTTTCTCTTGATCAAGGAGGTTCTGCTGTTGTTGAATGACAGAAATTTTCTCCTGTAGATTGAAATTGGCCATTTTCAGCTCATGGCTAATTCCATAGTATTGGTCTTCTAAAGATCTAATATATACATCTCGTTCCTGCAGTGAGCAATGAGCAATATGTAATTTATGCTCAAGCTCACCATGAAAAGATCTGCAAGATACTGCATCACTTTTTAAATCCGCTATTTTCTTTTCATTGCGTGCAATCATATGATCTTTTTCCCCTAAAAGCTGTCTCTGTGTCCTTAGTTCTTCCTTTAGCCGACTACAGCATAATTCCTTATAGCTGACCAATTCCTTAATTTTTCTCAATTTTTCTTGGAGATGATTAATATGCGTTACATGATCTTTTTGCTTCTTTTCACACCTGCTCTCTATAGGTGCTATAGCCTTTGTCTCTGTTCTAAAAGCAAGTTCAGTTTTCTGCTGAATCACTTTGTCTTTCTCATCTATCACAACCTTAAGTTCTGCCACTTTCTGCTGAAGCTCATCATTCTTCACTTCTTTCTCCTCTACCAGTCCATAAAGGTTAGCAAGAACCTCCTCAGTTTCACTGATAAAATTTTTCTCTGATGTCTGGTTCTTGGAACTGCTTGATTTCAAGCATGAGTCTGAGATTTTGCTTCCATGAATTTTTATAAATGCCTTAATTCCATTTATTTTTTCTTGCAATTTCTCCTTTATGTTTTTCAATTCTCTACCTGCTGACATCTGCTTTCCTCTTAGAACTTTTACCTGTGTGCATTTTTGTCGAAGTTTTTTCACCAAAAGTCCAAGTTTCGCTTCTGCTGTATTACTTCTACACTTCTTACAGGATGCAACAGATTTTTTCTTTGTAATATTGGAAAACCCTGCATCAGATGTGCCCAAGTTCTGGCAAATATCAGGAATCTTTTCAAAGATCAAAGACCAACCCCCACCTTTGGGCAAAACATATAAAGACTTTTTAAGAACTTTTTCCCAATGGCTCCTCTTTTTTGCACTGCAAGTTTTTGAGATTATTCTGTGTAATAGTTCATACTGCATAAACTGTTTTCTGTTTATTTCTGTGAAATCTCTATTTACTGGTCTGCAAATTTTGCAAATCCAAGAGTGAATATCTGTGTGAGAAAATTTTCCAAGGCTAATGGCTGCCAACACCAATTCCACAGTTAAGTATGAACGTGGCACAATCAGGAGCTGTTTTTTGCAGCCTAGGGCTCCCGATATGGTAAGCAGAGAGGTCATTTTCACCTGCCAATTAGAAATATTTGTGATATCTGACTCTGATAATGAGTTAGATGTATTTTCTTTCACATAACTTGATTCCGGTGCACCTTTGCAGGTCGGTTTCTGTACAAGACAGTCCACTGGTTCAGAACAAAGATTATCTTTAACTGTCTCGGTCATTTCTCTTTCAAAATTCGGATCCTTTACAAAACCTTCAAATTCAAATCCTTTCACACTGTTGCCTCCTTCATTTGTACTGAAGTCTCTCAGATAGTATTTTTCCTTTTTCTCAGCATGACTTTCATCACTGCTTCCTATTTTTTCTTTTACTGAATTCAAATCCTGCCACTGACAATCGAGATTTGTTCTTGTTGTAAGGTTTTTTATATCAAGACCATCTTTTTCATCACTATTTATCTCCTGGACATTTAGTACTGATTCTTTGATTTCTGCATCTTTTCCATTATTATGAATCTCCTCTTTCATCACAGACTTAGTTTTCTCAACCGTGTTAAATTCCTTTTGCAATAAAGTCGATCCCATGTTCTCACAGCATGAAAATCCTTCAGCAACTGATATTGAATTTTGAGGAATTAAGTTAGGCAAATCATGACCATCTCTTGATAATTCTTTACTATCTGAATCCTGACCATGTAATGACACATTGTCACTGACAACTATATGATGACTGTTGTTCTCTTCATCTATAATTTGTGTCTTTGACCTACTACACTCAGAAAACAATAGGCCAGACTGCTTTCTTACTTCTATGTTTTCCTCTTTCTCTCTTTCTGGCAAAGTTTGTACTGTTCTCTGATGATTTACAAACCATGATGACCTATCTTGCACTTCTTCTATTTTGGTATACACATCAGCATTCTGATTCTGAAGTACATCATCTGATGTACTAGGACAAGCTGTATCTGGCATTTCTGTTGATGCATTGTGTCCTTCAGAATTAATTTGTTCTTCTGATCTCAAGCTACTAGTATCTATAGCTTTATGATCCTGTTCAACTGATATTTTGCACAGACTAGATGATAAATCCTGAATGGTAGCCCTTGTCAATCTCTTTTTTGCTTTTGTCACCCTACATGAACTTGGTTGAATATCCAAAACTTTTGACTTCTTGAAACTGCATGATGGATATGTAATAGAAGTTAATTTCTGCAAATGAAGAGGATTCTCTTTGCCTTCTGCACCTCTTTCTTCTTTTAAAGTGCTTTCTGCATCATTACAAAGAACATTAACCACTTTGGATTTCAATCTAATGTTGGGACGTTTTTTCACATATGGTTTCTTTGGGGTCTGGGGAGTATTTTTCTTCAAATTTACATCATTACAAGGAGAGGCTTTCCCCGTGTCTTCAGCATTCCTTGAAGTCATTTCTTTATCTTTGATACAGAATGTTTCTCTGATCTGCAATGCCAGTGCGCTTCCATCCTCACTTTTATTTTCTATTTTCTCATGTATTTTCTCCTCAGTGATAACAGAATCTTCAATATATTTCACTGAAGAAGTGTTAATAACTTCTTGTTTTCTCATTACTCCTTCCTTAACAATATCTGAATTACATATGTTCTCTTCTCTTTTTATTTTATTTTTGATTAACATCTGTGATTTTTTTATGATTTCTGCTTCTTTAGAAATTTTGTGGCCTATCTCACTGGATAATGTGCAACTTGAAATAACTGCAGATTTTCTACTGAGCTCAGTAAATGAGATTCTAATGCCATCATTATGCTGGCTATTTGTGTCATCTGCATTTTGTCCATACAGCATAGTAGATGAAATTTCAAGATCTTTTTCAAAGTGCTGTTCAACTGTGCTATCAGCAATTCTTCCAACCAGATTTCTAGATACAGTATCATTTTCATGGTGCTTATCCAATGTGTTATCTGCAACTTTTCCTACAAGCAATAGAGATGAGATTTCATTATCCTTTTCATTGTGCTGGCCATCTGTGCTTTTTGTATTTTTCTCTTCTAGATTTACATATGAAATTCCATTATCATCTTCATAATGCAGTCTTTCCAGATTTACAGACAAGTTATTTTCATGGTGCTGCCCATCTTTGTTATCTGCAATTTCGTGATCCAGTTTTATAACTGAGGTTACATTATTACTTCCACTGTGTTGATCAAATTCTGATTCAATAAATATACCTTGGTTTCCCGGAATCAAAGAATTTTCATTTTCCAATCCACTTTTTCCAACAATATTGCCATCAACACTCAAATCTTGTTTGTATTCAGTATCTGATATCCTTAATTTCTTAACAGGCTCTTCATACTCCAACACTGAATTAGCCTTGAACTTGCAAGGTTCTGTCTTACTTGTTGGTATATTTAATTCTAAATTGCTAGGAACCATACCAAGCCCTGATATGGTAGAAGACGTCATCCCGGCCTCCACCAGGGAAGTAACCTCACTCTGATTCTCTGTGCAGGACAGGACTACTTCACAGCATGTTGCATTACTTGAGTCACAATCTTCTGGACAACTTCCTTGAGATCTGAGCACTGAATGACTTGTTGAGGCAGTTACACTTAATATGGGTAAGCTGACTCTTGACATATGCTTTTTGGTGGCTGGTACCACCTTCCTTAACCTTGCTGCAGGAGATTTACCCCTGATCCTTTTTCTTCGATGGTCCATCTTCTTCTGCAAAGAAAATTGAGTGCTTTCTTAAAAATAAACATATTTATATTCACACTTTAAACATAATGTTAGAAGTAATTAAAGATGTTTATTACTATAAGTATGCCTTATATATGTCTATGATATACCTCATATTACCTAAACTAAGGTAAAGTTATATTTTGTTAAGTTACCCATATAAAAGTATATTTTCTTTTATGTACGCCATCTTACTGCAAATTTTTATACTCGTGTAATGTAAACAACCCTATGTAGTGCCACGTAGATTCTCCTGAACACATAGAGTTAAGCACATCAACTCTGTGTTTTACTGATCCCCATAGAAAATCATGTATGCATTGATACGTCAAACTTGCTTAATACACGCAGGGAAGATGAGTTCTCCCACCACGCCATCAGGATATGGGCCCAGATTTAAGCAGTTTGATGGTGATGCAAACAAATATGATTTGTGGGAAGAGCACTTCCTCGGCGCGTTGGACATTTTGGAACTACATCTCGCGCTCGATAAGTATGCTTCAGAACGTCCAGAAAGTTATAATCTGGATCGTGCCAAAAGGACAATCTACAGTCATTTAACTGGTTGTCTTGACAGAACGTCACTTGGTGTGATAAAACGTGAAGCGAAAGGAGATGGCGTGAAGGCTTTGGCAGTACTACGAAAGTATTACCTAAGGGAATCAGACCAGAGGCTGTATGCTTTATTAATGTCATTCTTCACCAAAAGACTAGAGAATGGCGGCAGTGCTATGGAATATCTCTCATTTCTTGAGGAGACAGTAGCAGCACTCAGAGAAGCAGGTGAGAGCATCAGTGATCGTATCTTAGTGGTAATCACACTAAAAGGACTTCCACAGAGATACAAGAGTTTTATTGATATAGCTAATCAACGCAACCCTCCATATGATTTTTGTGGGTTAAAGACAGCTATATTAACTTATGAAGATACTCTCAAAGGAAATTCTGATACAGAGAGAGTAATGGCTGCCCAAGGTAATAATACATTTAAACAGAAGAGATGCTTCAAGTGTGGTGAACCAGGCCATTTTGCATCAAAATGCTACAAAGGTGGTGAATATAAAAGAGGAAACAACCTGAATAAGCCTCAAAATGTCAAGAAATGGTGTGAATTACATAATTCAAGAACTCACAATACTAGTGAATGTAGAACAAAGAACCCCAGGAGGAGTAATAACTCAGTAAATTCTGCTAATAATACAAGTGAGCCACAAAACTTTGAATATTCTTTCCATATAACACACTCAAGGTTACGACCCGTCGAGGGGACCTCAGAGTCGTGACATTGGAAAACAAAATGTATCAGGCTTAGAAGCAGATGAAAGTTTGATCATGATTGACAGTGGTTGCACTACACATATAGAAATAAATGAACCAAAATTTGTGAGATTTGAAGAGTCCTTTGATCCACAAAACCATTACATTGAGTTGGCAGATGGCCAGCGGCAACAAGGAAATGTACAAGGAATCGGTGATGTCAAAGATTTTATTCAAGATCGAAACGGCAGATCGAGAAGTGTTTTACTAAAAGATGCTCTATACATACCAGGATTTAAGGAACAGGATCATCTGTCAGTATGGAAGACAGTTCAGAGTGGACACAGCATTACTTTTTCACCAAATGGTAGTACACTAACTACCAAGGATGGCACAGTATTTGATATTGTTGAGAAAAAAAATTGTACTACTTACGTAGAGGTAAGCAACATACGAACTCTCATATGGATAAGTTCAACAAGGTCAATTTAGGGGAGGCTAAGCACACCCTAGAGGAATGGCATAAAATTCTAGGACACTGTAATGTGACTGATGTGCAAAAACTTGAAGCAACTGTTAATGGCATGCATATTTTGAGAAAGATAAGTTCAACTGTACCACATGTGCTCTTGGTAAAATGACACAGTATAGAAATAGAGAGCCTGACAAAAAGGCTAAGCAGCCTTTGATTTAGCCACTGTGATGTAGTAAGGACCTATTGATCCAGCAGCTAAAGGAGGTTTCAGGTACAGTATCTCTTTCATTGATGACTACTCAGGAGCTCTTAGAGTTTACCTCATAAGAGTAAGAGTGATACAGTACAAGCCATGAAGAGGTATATGGCAGAAACAGCACGTTATGGCAGGATAAAAAGCCTGAGATGTGACCATGGAACGGAATTTACAAATAATGAATTCAGAACACTCCTTATAGAGAATAAGATTAAACAAGAGTTTTCTGCACCCCACTCTCCACATCAAAATGGGACAGTTGAGAGGTCACACAAATCCATTTTTGATATGGCTCGATGTTTACTGATTGATGCCAAATTACCCAAGGATATGTGGAGCTATGCAGTGAAAACTGCTTGCTACATAAGGAATAGGTGCTATAACCCCAGAACTCGGAAAACTCCAGTAGAAATGCTCACTGGAAAGCGGCCAAACATCAGCAGAATGAATGTTTTTGGAGTAAGATGTTTTGCATATGAAGAGGAGAAAAAGAAACTTGATCCCAGGAGTAAGGAAGGGATATTTGTAGGCTATGATGACCAGAGCCCAGCGTACTTAATTTACTTCAAGGACTCCCAGACAGTAAAGAAGATAAGATGTGTCAAGTTTATGGAAAACTTGCCCAATGTAGCTGAACCATCAAGTATCGAGCAAGGCTCAGATGAAGAAGACATCTTGGTGGAGACAAGACTTCGCAAAAACCACTTCCAGCAAACCAAGATAAGCCACCAGAGAACATAAGTGAAGAAGATATCCAGCTCGAGAAAGACGGAAACCCTCACATCTAGATGACTACGTTACTGATGAACTAGACGACAGTATCTCCAGCGTGACACACAAAAGCTTCATTTATCATTGCTACCGAGTGTCACACAAACCAGTACCAGTCCAGTCACCTACCAAGAAGCTAAATGTCTCAAGAGGGACCTCAGTGGAAGAAAGCAATGGACGAGGAAATATCTTCACTTCAAGACAACGATACCTATGAACTTACTACACTGCCTGAGTCACGTACAGCAGTAGGTGGAAGATGGGTTATCAAGTAAAGCCTGGACCAAACGGCAAAGAAAAATTTAAAGCAAGATATGTTGCTAAAGGATATTCACAGGTGAAGACATTGACTACAGAGAAACTTTTGCACCAACAGCAAGAATGTCTACACTCCGTGCTTTATTGGATGTGGCTGTACAAAAGGACATGGAAATACATCAGATGGATGTTAAAACAGCTTACTTACATGCTGATATTGATCATGAAATATATGTGGAACAACCTGAAGGTTATGAAGAAAAGGATAGTGCAGGAAATGTGTTGTATTGCAAGCTGAAAAAGTCACTTTATGGTCTGAAACAAAGTGGTAGAATGTGGAATAGTGTAATCCATAATTTCTTCATTTCAGAAGGATTCAAACAATCACAGAGTGATCATTGTCTGTATCTAAAGCATGATATTATTGTGCTCTTATGGGTAGATGATTTAATTATTGCCAGCAGTAACATGTCCCTGATGAACAAATTTAAGCAATCTCTTTGTCAAAATTTCAGAATGACTGATTTAGGTAAACTAAACTGGTTTCTTGGAATGTCATTTGTTTCTGGTAAAGATAACATTAAGGTGAACCAAACTAAATATGTAGAGAAGATTTTGGATAGGTTTAACATGTCCGATTGTTATGCAAGAAATATACCATGTGATCCAAGTATTGTTAACACCTCAACAGTAGAATCTGATGAGTTGGCTAATGCTACTCTTTACAGAGAAATAGTAGGTAGTCTCATATATATTATGACAGGTACTAGACCAGATTTGTGCTATGTGGTCACTAAACTTTCACAGTATATGTCCAAGCCTACTAAAGCTCAGTTAAATGCTGCTAAGCATGTGCTCAAATATTTGAAAGGTACAATGATGATGGTCTTACATTCAAAAAGTCAAATGAATCAGTTCAACTTAAAGGATTTTGTGATTCAGACTGGGGATCATCTGAAGACAGAAAAAGCATATCAGGATATTGTTTTCAGTTACATAAAGATGGACCACTTATATCATGGAAAAGTAAGAAACAACAGACAGTAGCACTTTCATCTTGTGAAGCAGAGTACATGGCTATTACCTATGCCATTCAGGAAGCAAAGTTCCTAAGACAAATTGTGTCTGATCTATTAGGATTAAAGTTAAAGTCTGTAGACTTAGGAGTTGACAACCAAGGTGCTATTAATCTTGCCAAAAACCCAGTTAATCACCAAAGATCAAAGCACATTGATATTCGTTACCACTTCATTAGAGATGAAGTAGAGAAGGGTAATGTAAACTTGTTCTATGTTCCTACACAACAGAATCCAGCTGATATTTTTACAAAGCTGAGCCAGAAGAAGTTGCAAGCTTTTAATTATATCAGGGGATAATTCTCAGATAACATACCCATCTTTAATTAAGAGGGGGTGTTAGAGTAATTAAAGATGTTTATTACTATAAGTATACCTCATATATGTCTATGATATACCTCATATTATCTAAACTAAGGTAAAGTTATATTTTGTTAAGTTACCCATATAAAAGTATATTTTCTTTTATGTACCATCTTACGGCAAATTTTTATACTCGTGTAATGTAAACAACCCTGTAGTGCCACGTAGATTCTCCTGAATACATAGAGTTAAGCGCATCAACTCTGTGTTTTACTGATCCCCACAGAAAATCATATATGCATTGACACGTCAAACTTGCTTAATACACGCAGGGAAGATGAGTTCTCCCCACTACGCCAAACACATAAACAAAAAAAAAAAGTAAATGGTTAATGGTTGTGGGAAACGGCCTCACGAGACCCACACTTGGTAACAAAACATGATGTAGAAGCAGGATCAAGGGCTGGGGGTTGTTGCCTGAAACAGTGCTGACCTGGCAGTGCCACATAGTGGCCTTTATTGATAAGAGTATTCATACATAAAAAATATATATGGAAAATAAGTACTTTCTCTGATGATATAAAACTACATGAAAAATAAAGTATTTCTCTAATTCAAATTCAGAAAATATATACTCTACTCCACAAAAAATATAGATATTCTTTAACAAAGAAATAATAACAAAGGAACTGAGGGTAAACATAGAAAAGTAGTGTTCTGAGCATCAAGGAGTCACTAACATATTTAACATACTCCCCACCACAGGAGTATTTACTCCTATCATAGACTAAGTATACTTAAATGAGGTAATAAATCCTGAGAAATAGTAGGACAATTTTCTCCTTGGAATTGGTTTCAATAAACTCAGATATACTATAAAACTCACAAACTTATCTTAATTTCAACCTTAAGAAATAAGAACAACTAAACTAAATGCTGCAGATTATTACAAGTCAAGTATATTTGGGGTTTTATGGCACAACCCCGTTGACTATAGGAAGTAGGTTTTAAACAGCTCTCTTCACAAGGCTCAGAGGCACTATTTTCATTGTTTCCAGGAACTGATGGTTTAACAATTTCCCCTGAGATAGATTCTCTCAAATCTTCATCAGAATCTTCATAAAGATCAGTATACATTTCAAGATCATGCAACTTCTGCACTGGTCTATTAACTACTCCTTTGTCAGTTTTTACCCTTACACTCCTAATGACATTATCATTACCTGGGAATACTTCTGTTTCAACACCTAATGGCCATTTTAGCCTAGGAACATAGTCTTCTCTGACTAGGACAATAGTACCTTTCTTTACATTACATTTTTGCACAAATCCCTTCACAACAGGTGGCAAGTTTCTTAGATAATCATTGCTCCATACTTTCCAAAACTTATCAAGTTGTTGCTGGCAAATACTTTCTCGCATAATCAAATCCTTTCCTGTGATACAAGAAGGTTGATCATTAACCTCGAGTTGAAGTCCAGCATTACGTCCAATGAGAAATTGTGAGAGTCAAAGGATTAGAAACATCAGGTTCATCTCCAACATATGTTAAGGGTCTAGAATTCACACAAGCCTCAATTTCTTGAATGGTGGTCTCTAACTCAATTTTTGACAAACATTTAACCCCTATTGTATTCCTCAAAGCTGACTTAACAGACCTAATCAAACGCTCCCACCAACCTCCCCTCCATGGAGAACAAGGAACAATAAATTTCCATTGAGGAGACAATGGTCCATATTCTTGTTGAAGTTGACGAGTTGCACTCACAAATGTTTTAGCATTATCTGAGTAAAAAACAGAAGGAAGACCTCTCTGTGCTGCAAATCTACGTATTGCAAGCATGCAGTCAGAAAGAGATAATGAATCAGTTAGTTCTAGGTACACTGCTCTTACTACTGCACAAGTAAACAACAAAATGTACAATTTCTTTGAAGGCAAATCAATACAAAAGAGAGGACCAGCATAATCAAGACCTGTCACAGTGAAGAGAGGAGCAATCTTAACTCTTAATCCTGGTAGAGGTGCAGCAGGCTGACTACAAGCCCTAGAATCATACCTCTTACACTTAACACACATTCTACAAACAGTTTTAGCAATTCTCCTGACTCCCAAAATCCAGTAGCTGCCTCTTAAAATAGACACAATGGTTGCTACTCCAGCATGCTTCAGAAAAATATGCTGAAATTGAACCAAGAGCTTAGCAACATGACCTGAAGGAATAATAACATACAGAATGTTTACTTTCAAAACTTAAAATAGCATTCTCCAAACGTCCTTTAATTCTCAACAGGCCTTCATCATCTACAAAGGGATCTAACCTACACAAAGGAGAACCCTTTGAAGGAGATTTACCCTTTTTCAAGTCTGCAATTTCCTGAACAAAATTCTCTCTCTGTACACAGTAGAACAATTTGGTCTTGGCCACTGCTAACTCAGCAGGAGACAAGGGACCTGACATCTTCACAGAATGAGGTCGGACATTATTAATAAATCTCATAACCCAAGCCACCACACAACGTGCCTTATTGAAGTTACTCCATCTCTCAAACTCAAATATTTTAGGAGAGTTTACAGATACACAAGAAATATTCCCTTTACTGCAACTTTCTTCTACAGGTAACTCTACAGTTTCTCCTTTATCACTTAGAGTTAAAGGTTCAGACAACCAAGAAGGGCCATTTATCCATAAAGTAGAATTAATAAGGGGTTCGGCTAACTCCCCTCTAGACACAAGATCAGCAGGATTTTCTTTACCTGGACAATGGTACCAGTGGCATGGGGAGGTAAGACTCTGAATTTCAACAACTCTATTTGACACAAACACCTTCCATCTACAAGGATTACCCTTTATCCATGCAAGAGCAACCTTTGAGTCTGTCCAACAACAATAAGTCACAGTCTTATCGAGACAGAGGGCAGACTTCACAAAATCTAAGAGTCTAGCACAAAGTAAAGCACCAAGCAACTCTAGTCGAGGTAAGTGACCCTCTTTATGGTGCATCCTTGACCTTGCTACCACTAATGACACCTGGTTGTCCCATCACAAGGGAACTCTCAAGTACACGCAAGCTCCATACCCTTTCTCTGAAACATCACCAAAGGCATGGAGTTCTAAACCAGACAACTCTTTCCAGGACATCTCTGGAAAATAGCAACGATTAATCTTCCAATATCTTAGAGCAGCAATTCTGAAACTTATTTTGCACCTCTTTAGGTAGTAACTCATCCCAATCAAGCCCAAGTCTCCATATGTCTTGAAAGAGGATTTTAGCATACATGACAAAGGGACTAATCAAACCAAGTGGGTCAAAAAGCCTGGCTATGAGACGAAGAATTGCTCTTTTGGTCGACACCAAATGTGTCTCCATGTCTAAATCAATACCTTCAAAAACAAAGTGATCTGACAAGGATAACCACTTCATACCTAAAACCTTTGTGGATTCATGTTCATCACCATGATCAATTTTGTCATTAAACTTTGTACCAAACAATTTACAATTTGAGTGCCATTTAGAAAGAGGGAACCCAACTTCAGCCAAAATACTTTGAGCTACTTTAAACTTCTCACAAGCTTCCTCAGCAGTGTCCGCCCCTGACAGCCAATCATCTACGTAAAGGTTTTCCTTTCCTCAGCAGTGTCCGCCCCTGACAGCCAATCATCTACGTAAAGGTTTTCCTTTAACTCTTTTACTACTGAAGTATCAGGATAGGACTGTAAGTGGTATTTCATGGTTGCATTTAACAAAAATGGGCTACTTGTGTTACCAAAGGGAACACAAACAAACCTCATAATTCTAATGGAGTGTTTGCATTTCCACAAAAAGCGATGAACATCTCGGTCTTCTGGCCGAACACAAATCTGTAAGAATGCCTTTGTAATATCAGCAGTCAACGCAACCTTCCACTTTCTGAAACGAACCAATACTTTCACAAGATCAGGGTTAAGTGAAGGACCAGACTCAAGACAATCATTTAAAGAAGTGCCATCATAACTAGTTGCAGAAGCATCAAAAACTGGTCTGACATTAGTTGAAGAACTACTCTCTTTGACAACTGGACGATGAGGCATATAATAAGTAGGCTGAGAACT